ACCGAAGATACTTGCGATAAAGCATTCCACAAAGACATGGACATGATAGAACAAAAAAGCGATTTTTCTCAAAAATCTACAACTGGATCAAAAACCTGGTAGTGACCGTGAGTGACAAGTTGAAGCGTTGTAAGGCTGTTGCTGACATCTATTTCAAGTCTGTCTACCACTTCGGGCATGCGCACGTCGAGAAAGTTTCACCTGCCTGGTGCAGCTTGCCATGCGCCAAGAAACTTGGTGATCCTAGCATTGTATTGGGAGAATAGGATTATGGAGAGTCCTTTTAACTTATAAAACTGTCTTTGTAGAAAAAGATGTAATACATTTGCAGTATGGGGAATAAAAGCAGCCAAATGCAAACAAGGTCTCCTGACTCGTTGCTGATTTTAACTGATATAGCAAAATTTATGTTCAAACAAAGGGTTTTTATTTTGCATTTGAACTAAAACCTTTAGTTATCTAATCCTTTCTCTGTCTTGCCATAGACCAATTTCGATAAATTAAAATAGGCCATTTCCGAGTTCCCCCGGGCCTCTATTTCAAAAGGAGGGTAGGTGCTCAGCCTTTGATATGGAAATCATTTTTCATTCTCATGCAAATAAAACTCATTTTCACAAGGAAGGTTGTGCACCTAGCCTCATTTTGAAAGTGAGGGTTTTTGGAACTCGGAAGTGGCCTATTCATACTTGGCTCCAGGGCTTGGGGGGAATAAAACAAATGCAATGTATTGTTCATTGCTGAGCCTCAAGATGACTTCCAAGTTTTGTTTTATTCCCCCTAGCCGCCGACCCAAATATGAATTTTAATTTATCGAAATTGGTCTAATCTGAACCGCCCATGATTATTATGCTGCAGGCTCCATTTTAAGGCGTACGAGTTCTTATCGTCCAAAGGAAAGGCAGACATTTAGCGGTAAAGTTTCTAAGGTTTGATTTTCCGGTATTTCCTATTTTCTTTACACTCACCGATGGTTAGCTTAAAAAAAAGAGTAAGTCATTAATAAAGTACTATATCAAAGTTACGTGTGCCCTTGAGTGAGCCCGTAAGTTACCACGTAAAACAGTAACTGACAAGAGTGCTAAGTGCGTTCCATGCAACACACGTAAATGTACCCATAACGGATTCGTAAGTGACCTACTTTAGTGGGCACTTAAGAGCAGGTTTTATGCAACTGGACCCCGGTCCCAGAAGTTTTTCTTGAAAATATTCTCCGCGTGTGAGAGAGAGAGCGACGGCTAGGAGGTAGTGGACTTGACCTTCAATCTCAATTTTATTAAGATGACAGCTGTCAAATGCGTCAAAGTGACCAATGGCAACTTAGCAAACACGTGCTTATCAGCCGCTACTTTTGTTTCAGCGGGGGAAGACCGCAAAAACACAAGCCGTGTAGCTTACGGAAAAGGTTTTTGTTGCATGCTCAGTGAGACTTTCGTCCTCAGAAAACCTCCCCTCGAATACCGAGGTCAAAATTTCTTTGAACAACATTTATGTCAATCTGATCTTTACCTTGTTCACGTGCATGTTACATGTACCACGTATGCAGTATTTCACAAACAATTTTCCTCAAACACAATTTACCTCAAGGACTTCGATGAGAGATATCCTCACAATCCCCTCGGTAAAGCTAATTTAACGAACCAATCAAATTGATTTGTGTTTATAAAAATATTAACCAATCAGCGCCCGAGGGTCATGTCCTGACCCTGTCCTCTGCATGAAAGTGAGATCCAAGACCAATGCAATCAGAGGTTTTCTCTCCCTCCTCGCCGCTTTGCGGCTTGCTCTCACTCACGCGGAGAAAAACGTCAAGAAAAACCTCTACAACCGGGGTAACTTTCCTCCATCAGATGCCCCTAAACTTCGATAAACTTCGATGTCCTTCGACGCTCGTGAGGGAAATCCGAATTAAAATGCACAAGATAACAATGAATCTTTCTGAAAATGAAAGGTGTTATTTTGTATGTTAAATTGCTACAATGTGCCTAACAAGCAAAACTCACTGTTTTATATAAAATACTTAAGTATGTATTTTGTGTAACTACAATGACACGTTTCTGGTGAAAAAAGCACGTTAGAAAAAAGGAATTTCTTAAAATGCTTCAAAAAAAAGGAAAATACATGCCAATTAAGGTTACAAAAAGAGTTTTTTTTAAACTTTCATTACTAAAAGTAAAGCCATCATATTTGATACATTCTACCGTAAAAACCGTATTCAAGTATTACACGCTGAAAGCTAAAATCGTAAATTAGTGATATTTTCCTGTAACGATTTAGCCAGAAAAGCAAGAGATTCTATGTAATCGATACCTGTGGTTATAGTTTAAGTGAAGCATACATATTTCCATGTAGTCACTACGATCTTTGAGATTGCTGGGATTTTTCCCAGGGATCTTCTCGATGGCAGCGATCTGTGGAAACCTTGCTTCATTTTCTACTCCTACGTATCCACTTAGCTAACAGCTACTTTAAAGGAAGTGCACAGCTAAACAATACGCATATTAGTAGTAACAGTAAACAAAAAAATGTACGTTCCTTATTTCAAATATATTTACAACAATTCACAAAAAAAAGATACAAAAGACAGTATTGCCAGTATATGAATTTGTGAAAACTACTACAAACCTACTACACAATGTCGCACAGTACCTTTTTAGCCTAATGAATAAATTACTGTCAATATCTTACAAAACCTTTTTTATTTTACTGTAATATTTTACCACGTATAATACAGTGAGCCAATCACTGAGACTAACACAAATTTTACGCCAGGAAAAGAAGAGTAGGCCACAAACAAACGTATTCAGACGTATCCACAAGTTTTAAGAAGTCTCTTAAAACCTATCCTTTTAACACAATATTTCAGCAGTTAGTCAACGTTTGTCAGTGGTACAATTCGTTCAAAATATTCTCCGTTTCTAATTCACTCAAATCCCCCGGCTAATTCTTCAGCACCAGCCACGTTGACCAAATTTGGAGGACGTTCGCGATATCTGGTAACATGACATCAATAACACAAGTAAGTCTATCGGAATTTGTAAGACCGGTGTAACTGAAAAATGTGTGTGGGGTGTGGGGTGTGGGGTGGGCGTGTAGATGTGTGTATTCTTGTTAAGTAGGTATTTGTGCTCACAGTTAATCTATGTAGTAGCCTGTAAAGTTTCCTGTAATAAATAAATAAATAATAATAAATAGTAATGATAAAAACATCAATAATACCGGCTATCACAAGAAAAATGGACGGCAACAGATAAGCCTTGGGACAAGGTTGCGTTAGCTCAGTTGTTTTGGTAGAAAATACTGAAACAATTTCACACCTTCAGGGAAGAACTAGCCGAACTTCTGCCTAAAAACATAGCAAGAACACAAAAAATACTACCCAAAGGATGACAACTGCTATTTGAAGAGACTAAGACTGTAAGACTAAAAATCCCTTTACATCCTGAATTTGCCGAAAATTCAGGATACAAAGGGATGTTCAGTCTTGCAGATATTCTTCAAATAGATGTTGACAAATGAAGATGGGAACTTAACATTGATGGAGGTAAGTATGCTTTAAAGTAAGAATTATTTTGAGCTAATGATAATTAATAATTATTGGACGAGGTTAAGCAAATATTGTGGTTTGTCAGTGGCAAGCAGATGAATTATTTACCGAAGCCGAAGGCTGAGGCAAATAATTGATCTGCAAGACACTGACAAATCAAGATATTTTGCGGTGACCGAGTTCAATAATTGTTTTATCATTCGATCACCGAGTTTGTATTTTGAATATCCGAGAAGCGATCGGCAAGAAAGAGAAAAGCGTGGTTTCATTTACGCGTGAGCAGTATATTATTTGCAGCCACAGTTGGACGGCATTGCGCATGAGCAGATCATTATTTGTAAGTAGTTATTTGCAGGCCACGTTTAGTGGGCTCTCGGCCAACGAAAAGGAAGAAAAATTTGTATCGAATGATAAAAAAAAGTTATTGGATTCGTTTTTCGCGTCACCTGAAGAATTATGCAGATCTCGGAGGATGTTAGCCGGCCTTGGTCCCCGATCCGGACGATCTGCACAATTCTTGAGATCGTTTTGAGGATCAACCATTGATTTCTTATTTTAATTCAGCTTCTTTTTCTGTTTAAATACAAAAACTATAGAGTAATACGAATCCACTAAGAGGCTTACCCATTTCTACTTCTGTTCTAACGGCATTTTTTAACTTTTTAAGTATCACTGTCAAGAGCCTCGGACCCAAGGGATATGCGCGCTCTATCAATGGATTACGGTTACGACTACAAACGAAACCCGAGCTCAAGTCCAAGGAAGATTTTGCCGACGATTAAGAATCGAGAATCGAGAATCGAGAGTAAAGCATTTCGCCTACTGATAAATGGTCAAGGAAGGCGTGTCGTTATCACTCCGATGTCGACTCTTAAAACTATAAACTGAGCTTGAGTTAAAGCAACATTGTTCAATATCTTTGAATAAAAAAAATTTAACATGAGACTTACAAACAGAAAAACCATGCATTCTTCAAAAAATAATAATAATAATAATAACCTCCAAAATAAGTCTTATTCAATTCAGATAATGCCAGCAACTCTAAGTTACTACCTGTGTTCAATTCTGTGTTCTTTCACTTTTTTGGGGGGGTCGAACTGATATGGGTCAAATTATAGAGCGTTTCCAATCACGTGGTCAGCATCTATGCAAATCTAATGGACCAAAAGAAAGCGTTTACACAGGAAAAGAGTTCAGCTCCCCCAAGACTGCTTTGGAACACCAACATGGCCGCTGTTTCTTTGTTTTTGAAAACCAATATGGCCGCAATGACGTCAATTAAAAACACTCTATACGTAATTGCAGAAACGTTGGCAAAAAAAGAAAAAACGCCTTCTATGGGTTAACTTGTATGATAATGAGCAAACTGTAAACAATGATGCCTACATGTGACAACTCGCGTGATGCGGCTGATAACCAGTGCAGGGGTGCCACCGGGTCTTCAAATGAAAACATTTTATATGTCAGACTCGTCAGATTCAAAGAAATAGTTTTCCGGTATGTAGAAATCTTCTTCGAAGTCAGAATTCCACGAAGGTTCGGACTTGTAGTCTTCGAGAGACGAGGTTGGAATGTTGGAAGTTGAAGGCATGTGCTCTGCCAGCTGTGTTTTTGTTTCAGGTGAATCTAATTTGCCCTCCGTCAATGCCGTCAGCAATTTTGAAGACAAAGCACACTCCAGTTTGCTGACAGTTATTTCGCATACTCGAATTGAGGATAAAAAACAAACAGCTCTGTCCTCTTCAGGCAACACGGCCATAAAGACGATCTTTTCATCTCCTTGTGCAATTCTTGCAAATCCAATGGCTTTTGACTCAGGAATATTCCACAGGAATACCATTCCATCAACACCATAGGAAATAAGAAACCGTTTTCCGTTTAAAAACCTACAGAATTCAATTTTGCCGAGATGGCCACGCAGAATTTGCCTAGACGAATAGATATTAGCTACAGTGAGTTTGTAAACATATATAAGGTTTGCGATGCAGCAAACTAGCAGTTCGTTGTCCTGTGAAACGATGCACAAACTGAACTTGACTGAGTTGTAAAACTTCTCGACTCCCACGCTTTGCAAAAAACGAAAGGGATCCTTCAAGTTCTTGAACTCACAGACCTCAATTTCGTTATAACCGCCGCACAATATGAGGTAACTCATATCAGATGAAATGCAAAAACAGTCTACAGTAAGCAGTAGTCCTGGTGATTTAAATGAGTGTGACATTGCTCTTTTTCTAATATCCCACACATAGAAATGTGGGCCCTTTAAGCTGTCCTGCATACAAACAAAAAGTAAACTACTATCAGTGGAAAATTTCAACCATGCATCCATGATACCAAACTCGGCGTCAAAAACTGTACAACAAAATCCTTCAGACTCAACACGGTGTAGTGTTACTTTGGTTTGTTGCAGTAAAGCAATAAATTTTCCATCTGGTGAAAGGACGCATTTTGTTGTTACATGACGCAACTGTGCAGGAGGAAAACCTGACCAACGGATATAACACCTTCCAGTTGAATCACATTCATTCTTCAATTCTACAACAATGTAACAACCGTCAGGAGTAAGTACACTAGTAAGTACACTCCAATGATAATGTGAACAATGTTCTAAAAACTGAGGCAAGTTCTCTACACTTCCTCTTTCGACTGAAAACCACTTGTCAAGTCGTCCAACGAATAATTTGCTGCCGTGCGCTGAACACTTCAAGTTGTTTATGTAGCGCACAATCCTACCTTCCCTTATTTCAACAGGTCCACTTACTACATGAGGCACAGATGGATTAAACAGAAAGAGCAAGCGACCCTTTCCACCATACACAGTCTGCTTATCAGAGGGTTTGGCAAAACAGTTACAGCTAGGAAGAACTTCAACGGTATGGGGACAATCATAAACATTCAAATCAAACCAGGGCGACGACCCTTGAGGAATCAAAATGTTTTCTTGGACAACATCTGAGGAGTTTCGAATACATGACCGCAACAGGTGAGGACTTTCTACCAGAACATGCACATCACTTTCGATAGCTACGGAAATTTCCTGCAAGATGTTCTGTTTTTTTCTCTGCTTGACAGCAAGGCAGCTGACTGCACGTTGAAAATCTTTAAGTAGATGGTAAATTCCAAATCTACCACTACTAATCCTTTCTTCTAAGAAGCGATAACTTGTTAAGCACCTGAAAACAAGCTCCAAAGAATCCTTTTGGGCATGTTGGCACAACATGTGGACAGCAAAATGAAGAGAAAAGCTCTGTAAATCTCTCTCAACGTGATCTAAATCCAGTCTTGGTTGGCCAACAAAGGCAGACAGAATTTCCTTAACAATTTCAGTGAGGTAACCACCTGCCTCTTTTGGGTCAATATACAACTCTTGAGCTTTTTTCTTGTTTGTTAACCAAGCTGGAATCAAACTGTGAAGAAAAGAAACCCTCTTTTGCATCACCACAAATTGGGAAACGGCGTCGATAACCTTTTGCTCATTAAGACTTGAGTTTTCTCTGTGAAGAACAAACGAAACAAACGATACGGGAAGCGGAGATGGCGCATTCATGATACAACCTAATAACTTCCTATAAAGATCTTCTCCCACTTTATCGCAAACACGTTTTAAATTCGTTTCAAAAAAGTCTTCAATATCCCCTGGAAAAAGGTCGCATAATTGATCAATCTTACCTGAATGTAATGAATCGTTAAGTTCTTGCGCAATGTAAAAAGCATATAAGAAGAGTCCGTTACATCTCCGTGTGACGTCTTGCACCGAACAAGGAAGACGGGAAAAATTTACACTTTTTTCTAAAAAGCGCTGAATGTCCTGTTCATGTTGCTGATAGTAAAGAGTGCGCTGTTCACCATTTCCCGCGCAAATTCTAACACACGGGTTGTACTTCGCCAATCTGTTCTGTAACATGTCTTCAGGGCGACTGGTGATAAAGAACACAAGCCATTCTGGGAGCCGGGGGAAACGCTCTTTAATAAGACAAATGAAATCTTTCCTGGACTTGTACTCTGTCTCGTCTAGAGCGTCAATAATGACTAGTTTGCGCTGAAATGGACTGCACCTACTTAGTGGCTCTTCAAGTAATTTGGTACATAGTTCCTGAACCCCTAAATTAGAATTAGCTAACATTATTCTTACACCATCCTCCCCTCCCATTTTATTACTGTACTGGCTATTACAATTACATAGCTGACAGGCTATAGTCCCGAGAAGATTTCTTGGATCATTTCTGGTGCCATCATAATGACGGCAAAAGTAGGCAGCACCAAGACGCCTAGCTTTCTTCATACGCTGCGCCAGCACCCCTGCTATCACACTCTTACCGACTCCTGCATCCCCGAGGAGAACATAAGCTCTGGAGTCGCCAGGATCACTGAACCATTTGTCAAAATCGTCAAACAGCCACTGTCTTGTATCTTTATGATGACGCCCGCCAAAGAATGCGATGTCTGATTCACAGTTAGCGATCTCTGCATTAAAAAGAAAAACGAAGAAAATTATCCTCCACATGTAAAGCTAAACTAACGTTTTTTCTTGTGTGCGTGACTAGTGTCCTGCGATACACAGGTCCTCCTAAAACTGAGGTAACAAATCATGCAGTAAAAAAAGTTTGGAATTGGGACACAAAAGCGCGCTGTTCCGTTGAACTTTTTCATTGTAATAGGGAAATCTTCTCATTACCATAACTGATTTGATGGACAGCAGAGTTCTGTCTCTCAGCTTCCACTTCTGTTAAACCTTCTTCCACCCTGCGTTGGTCATCCAACTTCAGAAGCTTCACGGTGAGGGCGTCTTGTAAAGACACCTCCCGAGGGCCGGCGCCTGCAAATCGTTCCCGCTGACTGGTATTTATATCCGATTTACCTGTTAATGCAAACATGAGAGTAATCAACTTTTATAGCTTTAGTAAAGCAGGAAAAGAAATTTCTTATTGCTTATAATTATTTTCTAAGGTTGGTAGCGCTTATACAGTCAAACCTCCCGTTACGGATACCTCTCCATTACGGACAGTTCTTTTAGTCACATAGACTGCTTGCAGTCCGCCTTTTCTCTTAAAATCCGTCTAGTTCTTATCTCATCCAGCGCGATTGCAAACCACGACCTTATTATTACAATAAGGGATTGAGGCCAGACGCCCTCGTTTCTCGCCGCTCGCGGCTTTGCCGCTCGCGTGCTTAGGTTTCGCGTGCAGTAACTTTGCAAAGAAAAATAAGACTGCTCGCAGTCTATTAGTCACACTGATGCCAAACTTCATACAATACCTACCCCTATAATAAAGACACCAACCTATTAAAAACAGTTCTCTTGGCTTCAAAGATGCCACATTTCATACAATCCAAGTATGCAACACGTGAGTCAAATATGGCCTGACAACTATGCCTTACATTAAACCTTCAGTTGATTCTTGGGTGGTCATGGCCCTCATGGGGTTTTGGATCCCAGTAGAATTGCATCCATCTTTACAACAGTGAATAATTAACGCTGATTTTTTCCGTAAAAAATAAAAGATATCTGACGGCTTAATTCATACTCTCACTGACACAATCCTAATTGCATCTACTAAACAACTTCTGCCACAAGGTAGCTAAATGTCATACCATTAAGCAAGCTGATCATCTTGCCAAGAAGATCTCTGCTCTGGTTGGCCCAGTTGTATTTCCTCTCATAGGAAGTGCGCACCATTTCAGCCTCCTCAAGACGCCATTGTCTGTCTTTGCCCCACACCTTTTTAATAGCTGCGGTCCACTCTTCAGGGTCCTCTGAATCAATCACAAATGATGAGCCAAATGGTACCTTGCTCAGTGCTTCACCAAAACCTGAGTTGCTACTGACAAGCACAGGGACACCAGCTGACAGGGCCTCAAGTCCTGTCAACCCAAATCCCTCTGTTCTTGAAGGCACAAGTACAAGGTCAACTTCAAGAAACAAGCGTTTTAAATCCTCCCGACTCTGCACAAAACCTCTCACCCTCAAGTTTCTAGCAGGAACACCGCATCCTGTCAACTTCTCTTTTATTTCCTCGTGCTTTCCATCTGGGGTCCCAACAAACACAAGACGAGTGTCACGCAATGGAGCAACAGCTCTCGCAGCAATGTCAAATCCTTTTAATTCGAAGTCTTCATCGTCTTCGCGGCCAAACACTAAGATGCTACAGTGTTTTCTTTCTTCGGGACTTTGTTTTACACTTTTAAATTCATCAAAAAGACCTGGGGTAAAATCAACAACATTTTGATCTTTGTGACAGCTTCGAAGATATGACCTGAACGCCTCGCTCAACTTGGGCCCAATCCCCACAACAAGATCTGCCATTTCGCACAGTTCCACTTCAGTCCTGTGCTTTTCTTGGCCCTTAGAAATCGGCTTGCTGTATGACTTAAACATTTCTTGTTCCTCTGGGTCAGTGTGTACCACTTGCACCCACTTGCATTTTTTCGATTTTTTAATGACTTGTACCTGATGACCGAGTTTGACCCCATGACCAACAATTACGTCAATTTGCAAATGTTCTGGTGGAAAGCTGAGCCAGTCCAGTTCATCAAAGCCAGGATGTCTTGTTGCCTCAACAATCTTAACATTGCTCAACAGGGCTTGGTTTTTATCCTCTTCGCTACATCTTAGTAAAAAGACAGTGATTTCCACCTCAGGGAGTTTTGCCAGCTGTACGGCTAATTCTCTGCTTATGGTGGAGAGCACTCCTTTGCTTGACCCCCATTCTGAAGCCAAAATGGTGACTCGAACTTTCTTGAAGCCAACAGCCAGTTCATGCTCTTGAGAACGCTTTGACGTAGATGCCATTGCCTACACACACGTGTAACGTCCAAAAAATGTTACGTAGAGAAGCCAACACCTAGAAAAATCAATCACATCTGTCATAATTCTGTAATATAATACAAAGGGACTACAGGATAAAAGACAAGTACCTCACATTAAGTTAATGCATTCATTACAGAGTAAACCACCCTCTCTCAGACTACAGGGGATCATCTGACTATTACCACAAGATCAAGAAAGTACTGGGCTCTGTTATGACCAAAACGATTAATGATACAGTGGAAACTCTATTCAGGGGACAACTTCAGGCCCCGGTTGTTCAAACGACGGATAGCGCTATCCACCGCATAAATCATTATCCAGCGGATAGCGTAATTGATTTCCCTAATACTTATCCGCTGGATAGTGATTTATCCGGTGGATAGCGCTATCCAGCGTTTGAACAACCGGGGCCAGGACTGAGGCAAGAGTCCCCTGAATACAGGTTGGGCTGAAAAACCAGCCAAGGGTTTTTTTATTCTGCCATGGAATCTGCTGCAGTCATTATTTCAAGCAGCTGCATAATGTACAGAAAAATCATGATTATTACTGCAATATTGTGTGTTTAATTCCTACATGTGCAGTGCATTGATTTAAGTGAGATGACACAATTGTTGTTATCATTTTGATTAGTGTACACTTATCAACCCTTTTTGTGGTCAGTTCCATACCATGTACCTTTTAAGAGCTAAGGTGTCCCCTGAATAGAAGATAAAACTGGATTTTGGGACCCAGAAAATGTACCCCTTTCCCTAGAATAAGGACGTGTCTTGATTGTGACCAACTTTCGTGTCTCTTGAATGGAAGAGTCCCCTGGATAGGGGTGTCCCAAAGGAGAAGTTCCACTGTATCCTTGTGGGGAGGGGCTAGGTAGGGGGTATGAGACCTGTGAAGCAATGACTGATGGTATAGTGCTTCCAAATTTATAAACTTTGATGCATGTCTTTTCAGAAACACTGACATGATATTAACTGCTCTTCTAATCAGATAATTATAATAACACAATAATAATAATTGTCTTATCACCTGTCCTACTGCTGCAGTCACAGGTATGCCAACTTTCTCCTCACATGATAAATGATCATCAACTGAGGGAATGGCTGAAAAAGATGTTCGTTACAACCTCAGCTTTTATATTTAAATGTTACTAGGCAAAAAATAAGTTTTCAAGTTGCTGCTCCTAAAGTTAACAACACAGTAGTGCATTTCATGGACAGGAATGCACTCTGGGTTATGGTCACCCTTTGTAATGGTAGAGTGACGTCATTAAAAAAAGTTATAACTGTGCTGGAAATGAAACAAAGCAGTGCATGTTTCAATGAGTTATGATGGCTCTTAAATATCTTCATGGCTATACTGATTTTAGTTAAAATAACATTACACTGCTTGCAATAATGATTATAACACTGGAGGAAAGACGGGTAAGCAGATTTTTTAAAGCTTAGGTAAATTAAAACTGGAGTAAAAAAAACATTTGTTTACTCTATATATTTCATAATAGAGTACAATGCACCTCTATGTAACAAAGTCCTCAGTATACATGTACATAAGGGATATAATTATTGTAATGGATCCAACCACTGTACACAAATGAACTTTATGTCTTTTAGTTTAATTATTATTTGTCAGCTACTTTATTTTCCTACCTACGTACACTTATGTAAATATCTTATATAGTGTCAAATAAAGAATTGAATTGAATTGAATTAAAAACGAAATATCGGCAAGAGTCGTTTTTCTTTTCCAGATTTTTGAGGTGGATATTGTTATTGCCAATCTGATTTACTACTCAAACTTGGGATATCAAGTGGTATTCACCTCCAAGCGAATTATAGGACAAACTTGCGCAAGTTATGAGCAAAATGGTTTTTCGGTTTGGTACCGTAACAAACAAAGAAATTTAAAAAATAATCAAAGAAGCAGTTCCCAACAACACATACATGTAAAAGGTGATGAAATTCGGTTTGGCAGATTTACAGGTAAATCTTTTAATTGTTTGTTTAACCTAAATACATTAATGAAACTGGTCAAAAGTTTTTTGTTTACAAATGCAAATTACATGTAAGGCTTGCTTTACTTTATTTACCTGACATGTTCATAAAACTCTATTAAATGGGCTTTTCACAGAACGGTTTTGTATACACAAAGAATTCACAACTTGGAAATATCCCCACTGAAGAGCTAAACAAATGCTCTCGAAATTTTTCTTTTGTTGGCAAGAAAACATTACGGCCAACCGGTTATTTGTGTGCCAAAATTGAAACCACTGACAGCAATAAATGAGTTGAAAATCATCATTTTTGCGCTCAATTATCTCAGTGTTTTAGTATACATACTAAAAAAAAAATCATTGTCATGTGTTTGAACAACATTTTTCATCCCAGTAATAATAAAATATAAGTGGACTGATCCCATTTAAAAAATAAAAATGGTCCACCTTCAAAGGTGAGCAAGTTTTCTAAAACTTCAATTTCCTAATCTGTAGTTTCACCAAACCATTCCAGTAGGTTTTGGACTGAGATTTGTGGAAATTTTCTCAATGGACTGCACCCAGTAGATCTTCCCATTGGAACTTACTGCTAGTATCAGAAGCATATAACCACTAGTATCCATAAGTGATTTTAAAGAAGGCAGCATGGCCGACTGGTCAGCGCCAATACTGGTTGCCTCCTGGTTGGGGGGTTTTAATCCTGTTATGTTGTATTTAAATGAAATTATTTGTCTCTAAGTAGTTGAGTGGAGTGCCTGTAAACTAGCTGGATAAGCTAAGTGCACTTTCCACTAGTGGTGAAATGAAGAATTATGAATACCTTAAGGAAAATACCAGGTACACAGTGTACTATGGAATGGATTCTACATTGAATTTAACCATGTGCTCAGCCTGATTTTACTTGTGTAAACGGATCCACGATTCAGTTAGTGTTAAATTGCTTTTAAGGATAAAAAACCTAATAGGTTTTTTAATAAAAATTTTCAAGAAATAATTTATCCATCAATTGTCCATTTATATTAAACAAAAGCTCAAAACGCAATCATTAGATTACAGATTGTGAGATTTTTAGATAAAGTTCAGACAGGCTACTCGCCTTTCTTGAACAAAACTCAACTGTTGTTGTTGTACATGTGCCATTGACATGACTGATTTGTTATCCATTATTGGGCTGCCCTTCAGGGCAATGCCCAATCAAAAAATGGAGGCTGCCTCGTCTGTGCAGCAAAAAGACAAAATGGTGGACAGATCAGGTTGTTACCAAACTCCTGATTTTTGAGGAAAAGGGGAGGGTCATTTCAGATAAAAGTTATGCTGGGGGCACAAAACAATATTGTATGAACACCAAACAGCAAATTACTCCTAAGTTTAATGATTAGGGCTAGAAAACTGAGTGAATTCAATCCCATTTAGGATCCTTATACAAGTGACATGACATTGTCTTAGCAAACAATTTCTTAGTTCAAGGTCTTTGGAAGAGGACAAAAAGAAACAAATTTTTTACATTTTTCTTTTCTGACCTAATTGACCCCACGTTTTAGCAGACAGCCAATCAGCATGAAGCCAGATACATGCAAATATTCTGGGGTCTTTCACTATATGGATCTTTACAGTTGTCACTGGAGGGAGTACTCCCTTATATAAGCCATAATAAAGGTATGTGCTGCACCAAAGGGGATGGTTTTGCACCATTCTGCTCTGAAAACTGGTATAGACTTTGTCCATTTTGGTCTGGAATCGGCTATCTCTTTCAAGGAAACTACCGGAGTGGATGAACGCATTGTTCGTTTCAATTCCAAATGAGTAAGAAGGAAAGAGAAAGATTATATATATATATATCTATATATGTATTTTTTGTTTCTGCACTAATCTAAGTATAAGTGATGACATAAATTTCTTAGGGGACAGGTCTGAAAACGGGCGTGAAAAATGACATTTTTGATCTAAAATAGGATCAGGATTTAAAGAACCACGCGGCACACCCCCACTAACAATTCCCAGGAGTACTCCCCTCCCCCCGCAGGACAGTTGTGAAGACATTCCATGAACTTGAATAATGCTATTTACTTTATCCAAGATTTGGAAAATACGCCGGCGGGAAGAAGAGGATTGAATTTTTAATACACAAAAGTTGGCAGATCGAAAAAGTAATTGGCAAAGTCTCAGTCCAGACCGACATCTCTGCTTTCTTTTATCATGTTTTCACAAACAAACGTCTGCATTCATGTACATTACCCCTCCCCTAAGTGCAGGAGACTTTTCAAGCGTCTTGCCGGTTCGCTCAAGTCTTTACCGCTATTACTCAATTGATCGCCACATGCAGGAAAAAAGCTCTAGTATACAGGGTACATCCCCAGACATTCGTCACAATATATGTAGGCTCCTCTATTTTCTCCTTAACATCTTCTTCAGGGATCTTCAGAGGCTGTGGTAATGCTTTCACCGGCTAATATTTTGTAGGTGCAGTACTATTCAAACAGACTGTGAAGGCATTTCAAATCTCTTATATTTTCTTTAACCAAGAGTAGAATTTTAAAAAAGGGGGACAATTTTAGCCTCCCACACATACTTTCTTTTGACTCATCAAGCAATGGGGAAGGAATGCATCACAAAGCCCTAAGAACATCTACGTGGTAGGCTACAATCATGGACAAAAGTCTTGGGACACTTTGCATTTCTGAGGCGTTTTCCAATTCACACAGGTCCAGCCGCTCCCCTCACCCCACAAACAATGCTGGACGCATGTGTCCAGAATTTGTTCCAAGTTTCAACTTTTTACAGGGTGGGGGGAGGGAGAAGTGCAAGAAAATTTCGAAAAGGATGCACTGTTTTAAGAGGGAACCGAGAAATGACAGAAAAATATGAATATTGCTTTACTGTCCCAAGGACTTTTGTCCAGGATTGTAGGATGTAATTTTGGCACAGGATGACAAATTGTCACGCAGTCCGGCAGACCAATGTACCCCCACTATGGGGGTCTTGTTTAAGTCTTACT